GTAAACACACACACCTGTAAACACACACACACCTGTCAACACACACACACACACACCTGTAAACACACACACACCTGTCAACACACACACACACACCTGTAAACACACACACCTGTAAACACACACACACCTGTCAACACACACACCTGTAAACACACACACACCTGTCAAAACACACACACACCTGACCCACCACTGAAGTGGATCAGAACCCAGAACCTTGCGGGTTTACCTGAACCAGCTGGACAGTCCCGGGCTGGAAGTCGAGCCTCTGCTCGGCGCCTGCGCGGCTCATCTCCGCTGTGTTTTGATCGATCCTGTTTCTGATACTCATTATTGATCACAGCGTCTCTTCACTCACTCCTCCTATTTCCGGTTCCGGTCAGCTGTTTGACGTAAGCGGCACTTGTAGCGGTGTTAGCTGTTAGCATGTGGCTAACAGGAAGGTAACTGTTAGGTTTAAACTAATTGTAATATTTCTGCGCGCAGATAGCTGATCAGAACCTCTGATCAGAACCGCTGATCAAAACCACTGATCACAACTCAGAGCCCAGGTCGGTCCAGAATCCAGAATCCAGGCTCTTGTCAAAGTGACGTCAGACCTGACTTGTATAGCTCACAGTCCACAGCCACCGACCGGAAGCTGAGATCTTACCCGAGAACCGGAGAACTGGAAACCAGGCATCTGACTCCGTGACCCGCTGACAGAACCCAGCAGAACCCAGCAGAACCCAGCACAGCTCTGATTCTTCTTCTGTGGGTGGAACTGGAGCCTGCTGGCTGCGCTGCTGCCATCTTCTGGATGACGTCAGACCTCCAGGCCATCAGCTGATGTTTTTTTTTTTTTGGTTTGTTTTTTTACTTTATTGATCTCTTGAATTGAACAACAGAACAGAACAAATGACAATCTCAAATTACAATATGATACATATAAGCATGTAAAAACATCCTCTGTCATACCTCCTACGTTCACATAACAAATGAACATATTATTCAGCACAAATTTAAGTTTAAGTAAGATTATTAGTATCAGAGAATTAGCAAATAATATGATAAAAGTAAAATCTAAACACAGAACTATTTATCTAACATGCTACATGATTACTCAGATAATTTGTCAGAGGGCTAAATTATCTGAGTGAGGTGATCAGAGCTTTCATTCTTGTGGTTTTTCAGCACTGTCTAATGAAAGTTTTAACATCTGGACTTCTTGTATGAATACAGACCATAATGACTTAGACTTGCCATATCTGCATTTATGTATATATAATTTTAAGATTATGATAATGTTGTTAACAAAGTATTCATCTTTTTTATTTTCAGATACATATCCATATAAGACATTCTGACAGGAGAAAGAGTCTGTTCATGGATTTTATGGTCAGAAGACCATGAAGGGATTTCCATAACATGTTCACAGAATGACAGAAATAAAACAGATGTTCTGTTGTTTCAGGTTTGTTACATATATAAAAGTTATCACATTCAAATTTAAATCTATTTCTGATAAACTCGTTTGTAGGATAAATATTTTTTAGAGTTTTGAAATGTAATTCTTTATATTTAGGTGGAAGAGGGAAACCCAGATATTTTGTCATTATTTTTATTCTCTCCTTTTTATTGTAAAACTCATGAAACTTTCTTCTTACCTGACCAGTATATCTATCCATCCATTTTCTTCCGCTTATCTGGGGTCGGGTCGCGGGGGTAGCTGCCTAAGTAGGGAGGCCCAGACTTCCCTCTCCCCAGCCACTTGGTCCAGCTCCTACGATGGAATCCAGAGGCATTCCCAGGCCAGCCGAGAAACATAGTCCCTCCAGCGTGTCCTGGGTCTTCCTCTGGGTCTCCTCCCGGTGGGACATGTCCGAAACACCTCACCAGGAAGGCGTCCAGGATGCATCCTAACCATAGGTAAGGGTGTGAAGGCAGATTGATGGGTAAATTGAGAGCTTCGCCTTTTGACTCAGCTCTCTCTTCACCACGACAGACCTGTACAGCGCCCGCTTCACTGCAGACGCTGCACCTATCCGTCTATTGATCTCACGCTCCATTTTTCCTTCATTTCTGAACAAGACCCCAAGATACTTGAACTCCTCCACTTGGGGCAGGACCTCCTCCCTGACCCGGAGAAGGCACTCTACTCTTTTCCGGCTCAAAACCATGGCCTCGGATTTGGAGGAACTGATCTTCATCCCGGCTGTGTCGCACTTGGCTGTGAATTGCTCCAGCAAAAGCTGTAGACCATGACCTGATGAAGCCAATAGGACCACATCATCTGCAAAAAGCAGAGACGCGATCCTAAGACCACCAAAATGGATCCCGTCAACACATTGGCTGTCCATAAAAGTTATGAACAGAATCAGTGACAAAGCGCAACCTTGGCGGAGTCCAACTCTCACCGGGAATGAGCCTGACTTGCTGCCGGCAATGTGGACCAGGCTCTGACACCGGTCATACAGGGACCTAACAGCCCGTATCAAAGGGCCTGGTACCCCATACTCCTAGAGTACCCCCCACAGGGTTCCCCAAGGGACGTGGTCAAACACCTTCTCCAAGTCCACAAAGCACATGTAGACTGGTTGGGCAAACTCCCATGCACCCTCCAAGACCCTGCTGAGAGTGTAGAGCTGGTCCAGTGTTCCACGACCAGGACGAAAACCACACTGTTCCTCCAGAATTCGAGGTTTGCCTATTCGACAGAACCTCCTCTCCAGAACCCCCGAATAGACCTTACCAGGGAGGCTTAAGAGTGTGATCACCCTTTAGTTGGAACACACTCTACAGTCCCCCTTTTTGAATAGGGGAACCACCACCCTGGTCTGCCAATTCAGGGGAACTGCCCCCGTTGTCCACGCAATACTGTAGAGTTGCGTAAGCCAACACAACCCTACAATATCCAGAGCCTTAAGGAACTCTGGGCGAATCTCATCCACCCCTGGGGCCCTGCCACCGAGGAGCTTTTTAACCACCTTGATGACCTCAGCACCAGAGATTGGAGGGCCCGACCCAGAGTCCCCAGGCTCCGCTTCTTCAGTGGAAGACATGCCGGTGGGATTGAGGAGGTCATCAAAGTATTCCGCCCACCGACCTACGACATCCCGAGTTGAGGTCAGCAGCACACCACCCCCACTATAAACAGTGTTGGTGGTGTACCGTTTTCTCCCCCTGAAACGCCTGATGGTGGACCAGAATTACCTCAAAGCTGTGTGGAAGTCATTCTACATGGCCTCTTCGAACTCCTCCCATGCCCGAGTTTTTGCCTCAGCGACCACCTGAGTTGCATGTCGCTTGGACTGCCGGTACCCATCAGCTGCTTCCGGGATCCTACAGACCAAAAAGGCTCTATATGACTCCTTCTTCAGCCTGACAGCAACCCTCACCGCCGATGTCCACCACCAGGTTCGAGGTTTGCTGCCGTGACAGGCACGACAACCTTGCGGCTGCAGCTCCGGTAAGCCGCCTCGACAATAGAAACACGGAACATGGTCCACTCGGACTCAATATCCCCTACCTCCCCAGGAACATGTTTGAAGTTCTCCTGGAGGTGGGAGTTAAAGCTCCGTCTCACAGGAGACTGCTAGATGTTCCCAGCAAACCCTCACAATACGTTTGGGCCTGCCAGGTCTGACCGGCATCCTCCCCCACCATCGGAGCCAACTCACCACCAGGTAGTGATCAGCTCTGCCCCTCTCTTCACCCGAGCGTCCAAGACATGTGGCTGCAGATCAGATGAGACGGCGACAAAGTCGATCATCGAACTGCGGCCTAGGGTGTCCTGGTGCCAAGAGCACATATGGACACCCTTATTCTTGAACATGGTGTTTGTTATGGACAATCCATGATGAGCACAGAAGTTCAACAACAGAATACCACTCAGGTTCAGATCAGTGGGGGCCATTCCTTCCAACCACACCCCTCCAGGTCTCACTGTCATTGTCCACATGAGTATTGAAGTCCCCCAGCAGAACAAGGAAGTCCCCAGGAGGTGCACTTTCTAGTACCCCCTCCAAGGACTCCAAAAAGGGTGGATAATCTGAACTGCAATTTGGTGCATAAGCACAAATGACAGTCAGAACCCGTTCCCCCACACGTAGGCGGAGGGAGGCTACCGTCTCATTCACCGGGGTGAACCCCAACACACAGGCACCAAGATGGGAGACAATAAGTATGCTCACTCCTGCTCGGCGCCTCTCACCAGGGGCAACTCCAGAGTGGAAGAGTGTCCAACACCTCTCAAGGAAACTGGTTCTAGAGCCAGAGCCATGCGTAAAGGTGAGTCTGACTATTTCTAGCCAGAACCTCTCAACCTCACACTAGCTCAGGCTCCTTCCCCACCAGTGAGGTGACATTCCACGTCCTAATAGCCAGCTTCTGTAGCTGAGGATCAGACTGCCAGGGTCTCCGCACTCAGCCCCCACCCATCCCACATTGTAGCTGACCACTTTGGCCCCTCCCACGGTTGGTTAGCCCATGGGAGGGGGACCCACGTCTCTTCTTCGGGCTGTGCCCGGCCGAGCTCCATGGGTAAAAGCCCATCCACCAGGCGCTCGCCAGCGTGCCCCACCTCCAGGTCTGGCTCCAGAGTGGGGCCCCGGTGACCCACATCCGGGCGAGGGAACATTGAGTCCATTTATTTTTCTCATCATAGGGGTGTTTGTCTTTGTCTGGTCCCTCACCTAGGACCTCTCTGCCTTGGATGACCCTACTAGGGGCATGAAGCCCCTGACAGCATAGCTCCTAGGATCATTGGGACACGCAAGCCCCTCCACCATGGTAAGGTGGTAGCCCAGGGAGCAGTATACATTTGTTTTTATTAAATGTTGTCTTAAAAAGTTGTTGTTGCATTTTTTTGTATTAAATTTAGTCCATCGAGATTCATGCTCAGTTGGTTTAGTTTCATAATTGTTCTTTATTAACTGAAATAAATGCAATTGGTATATTTTTTATTACTTTGTCATAGTCCAACAATTTTCAGTCTGGTCATCTGAACAGTTTCTTTTTTTGCTGAAAATCAGTTATGTTAACATAACTGGTTTGTTTCACTTTGGAGTAAGTTGTTTGGGGGAAGAATCAGTTTTGTGTTGTATGTTTCCTTGACTGATGAAGCCTTCTGGATGGAAGGTGAAACGTTTCAGAAAAAAAAAAAAAGTTCAGTTGACCTAACTTGTTGCACTAATGTGTGGATTTTCAGTTGACTGATTTTTTTTTTGTTTTGTCCATGTTCGGGTAGGAGAGAGGGGAGGGTTTATACTGGATCAGTCTTTTGGGTTTTTTTGTTTCTTCTATCAGGTACTAGCTTGTAATATTTTGTGTGTAAATTATTTCTTGCTGTTCAACTATGACCAGAGTTAAAGATGTTGGCCACTCTAGTAGCTGCCCAGTAACTTGTGTAAGCTGTAATGTGAAATCCCTTAATGGTCCAGTAGAATTCTGGAAAATTATGACACACCTGAAGCAACTGAACACTGATATTGCCTTTTTACAGGAGACCCATGTGTGTTCTACAAAAAATGGAAATTTTGATCAAAAATGATCTGGTCAGGTGTTTCAGTCCAATTTTCAATCCAAGTCAGGAGAGGTAGCCATTATAGTTGGCAAGCAGGTACAATTTACAGCCTCAAGTGTGCATGCTGATACTGCTGGGCAGTATGTTATAGTGGTGGGGAAGTTATACACACACGATATGATCTTGGTTTTGTTATATGCTCCCAACTGGGATGACTACTTTTTTTAATAACCTCTTTTCAATATGTCAGCACATAACCATA